GTGTGATTCAGTAGCCTACACAATTAGTCCTCCTCAGTGTACCGTTGGAGATGGTGCAAGCGTTCCTCAGTGACGGCGATCAGCTGTATTGCATGGACAAAAGCTGGGTCTTCTTCCTTTCTTAGCGGGTCTGACAGGTGGGCTCTTGGCAGCATGTCCGCAGTGTATATCTGGGATCGTGGCCGGTAGACAATCTCTGGAGCATACCTCTGAAGACATATATATATATATATATATATATATATATATATATTCTCGACTTGAAGGCCACACTCCATTCCGTTCATCGTTCCTGCCTGTGACGTTACCTGAGCATTTCCTACATCAAAGCTCATGTGGTTTATTTAAAATTCTCCCCTAAATTACCAGCGACTAGTGGAGTGTGTAGAGACTGCCAATCTGAACTTTTTTGATCGAAATACCACCTTCCACTATTTCCGAAGTGGGTGTTCTGCAAGGCAGCCGGATGTCAAACCTGAAATCAAGCGCGAGTGACACAACTTTCTTTGCGTCAAGCATGGTAGCTGTACAAGCGCTAACGGATAAGCTGACGAGCAACGACGCTTGCTTTAATATGTAATCTGTATATTACCTTAAGGATCTTGGCATACGCTCACGCTATGATTTAAAGTCCGTAGACAACACGAACAAGCTGTAGGTAAATGGGCGCTCCAACCTGGCTTCTGCATTTGGTCTGAAGGGATTCTCACGCGCCGTTTTCAGCATAAGTCCAATGCTCTTGTACGTATCACCTGCTTATTGTTCGATCACCCATTGCGAAGTGCAGAGACTGGAACTGGTTCAGCGTTTGGCTACCAGACTGATCCTCAGTCTACATGGTATACCGTATGGAGACCGATGCAGACGACTAGGCCCATGCACCAGTTGAATCGTCGGTTTTTAGTAGACTTTATAATGACGCACCGGATAATGCACCTGGGCCACTTCCCTATGTTTAGGCCGCTGCTTCCAGTGCGCGCAGCAAGCAACCCTTGCGGCCACTGGTACAAGGCAGTGGTACCCGACCTAAAGCTGATAGCTCACCCACTATGCTTCCAGCGTTGCCCGAGAAAATAGTCGAGTCGGAATTCAACAAATTCCTGGACAACCACCTCGTGGATTTTCGATTCAGGAAGCGCTTCGCACCCGAATAGTACATAACGCAGCTGTAATATTTAGCAAACACATAGGAATCAGTGACGTGATTCCACGCAGGTGCACGAACAACACAGTCGTATGTCTATTAGCTCTCTGTTTTTAGTAGCCAGTGTTCGAACCGCAGTGTTGTTACAGTACAAGGCCGATTCACAATCGGTCTTCAGTGTCACTAAACAACCCCCCGTAGTCGACGATTAAATTACTTACTCAGGCAGTTGCACCATTTTGGTTATCATATAAAGAAAGCGCACATTGCATGAATAACCAACGCACGTGGGGCTTGCGGTGTCCGAAGTGGCTGAGGACTAAACTCGCAATCGAACGACCGTATGGACCCAATAACTACACGAAACAACGGTTTCAGCCCTCAAAGCGATGTCGTTTGGAGGTGCAGGAGAAGCAGCCAATCAGAAGCAAGGACACGCTTGGTGCAGTGATGTTAGTAGATGAAAAAGCATAACAAATCAGTGGCATGAGTGCGTCAACTTGGTCAAGTGAAACGCAGCGGAAGAACACGGTAGGGCTTTTCAAGGCTACGGCCATCTGTGGAGACAGCAGGTTGTGAACGTACTTTTGCGGAAGAGTTTACAATGCTTTGATGAGGCCAGTGCCGCCGCCTGGGTTATAGACCTGGCCGCTGCTAGCAGGGAACGCTAGGAGACAGTGTGTTCGACAACTGACGTTTGCGAAATATTGCTCATATTTGGTTTCACATCAAAATAAACAATACCGAAGTAAACCATGTGTTCAGTGCTCAATGGTATGTTGCGAATAAAACGACGAGGCTTGACATATCCCGCAGAATAGTAAGAGTTTTAATGATAATAGAAAAAATACCCATATGCTGTTTAACTGCAAACATTGGACTTGCCGAGCAAAATTTTACCCGTTCGAATCGTTTACATATTGTTGTATGTCGCTTGCAATGTCACCACCTTTGGTTTTCACCAGGAACACGGGTTTGGGTCGAGTCGGTTTTGGTTTCTGAATGTACGTACGGTGCATGTGTCATATGACGTAGTGCAACGTGACTTGCGCATTGCCAACACGGTCTTTATACACATCTAATGTAAAGGATGAGATTAACATGCACTGGGAGTGAATTCCATATGTGGCAAAAACTTATCGAGAAATAAGTTCATTTATACAAAGTCGTCTGCATTGTTCTCTTGGTTTGAGTTGGTGACCTCTCATTTGTTAGACTGAGCTTTAGCAGCTGATAGCCCGAATGATTAAGGTCAATTAAATCTAATGGTTGATTATATGGTCACCACGCAAACACCAATAGCTTCCGCTGAAAAGTTCCAACACACTCAAGCGCTGTTCATAAGGCACATGGTATAGCGCTTTGACATTCTTCGTGGCGCGATGTTGGGGAATTTTCAAAACAGTAAGATCCCGCTTCAGCGATGTCTGCCAGGATTCAGTCGCATATTCCACGTGCGAGCGTATGTATAGAGAGGGCAGTTGGCAAAAATACGTGTTAAGTGCCTGAAAGCTCCCTTTAAAAGCCGAAGTGTTGGATACCATTTTCTGATATAAGTTCTGATTGTCCCGAACAAACAAAGTCCTACTGGATCAGTACACAGAGATCTTTTTCTCGAGAAAGCTGCGCTGGGGATCCTGGTCGCCCAGCTTATAGATGTGGACCATTTGGTGTCATAGATAGAGAGCATTGTGGATTTTTTCGTAACGACTGGTGGTTTCCGATGACTTATCAAGAGCGGCATTGTGATTGTTCCACAGTTGCAGTGGGTATTGCGGTTCTCGACCTGCTGCCCCTTCAAAGTAAGTAGAGGAGAAATAATTGGGCACCGCATTAGATGATACTTCATTTGGAAATGTGCTAGCAAGCTCATCAAAACTCCTCTCACTTCAGCGACTGGGGCTAAGGAAAGTGCAGCCAGCGCCTTCAGTTGTAGTTGAATTTTGACATCCATTTCAAGAGCACTCTTTAGACCGACTTTGCAGTTTTTGATGATGCTTTGGCGTCGGTGGAACTAGCATCTTTTAATTACTGCGCCGGTAAATGCGAACCTTGTAGCGTTAGGAGAAGTCTTCTCAAAATCGACTTTCACTTTTGTTGACGTATATCCGGTAACAGTAGTTTCTTTATTGCAAATATTCTTGTATAGATTTGCAACTGGATGTAAAGTTAACTGGGATCACTCTTGCCCACGTTGGCGTGCCACGTATATGGCAGATAAAACGTGTTGTAAAACTTTATCAAAAGTGCCGTCCCCGTATATGATATATATATATATATATGCAAAATTCAAGTGTAAATTCAATATCAGCAAACATGAGAATCCTTTCTGGGTCATTCATACCTGCATCATGTAGAATTAGTTCGGAGTACTGCTCAGAAATAGCAAAATTTGGACAAGGCAAATGACCGCTTTTTCGGTGACTCAGAAGAGTTCTTGCAATTGTTGGTTGTTTGGGAAAGTGGGCCAAAACATCACTGCTCAGTGCAGACAACACATTTTCTATAACGTTGCATGGTGTAGCACTAACTGCGCTCATGTTCAGTTTCAGTTGCCTTGTGCAGCAGTTGCTTCCGCTTTTTGAGGACATGAGTCATGACAGTGCGCAGTCGGTTGTTGTAACATAACGCCCTCTCGTGACTTCATCAGTGAGTGAGACTTCACACCTCGGTTTTGCCTGCATCTCCAAGTTACCACTGCTTCGATAGTGTGGCAAGCAAAGTATTCAAAACCCCTAAGTATGTCAAAACTAGGTTGCCCTTTTGATTTCTACACTACGCGAAAGGTAACAAGCCTAAAATCATAGTCCATCTTTCATTAGGCGCAAGCATTTTCTGTGTTTGTCCACAGGCGGGACACAGTAACAAGCAGAACCGGGAACGGACGCTGTCAGTCATGATTTACACTCGATTAGACATGCATGCGTGATCATAGTTGTCCATTCGTGCGGCTGTAATCTTATTGCGAGTTATACAGTTCGGTGGAATCTTGTTAATGATTTTACACCACCAATATAAGTCAAAGTGTGTCTGTATTCTTAAAGCCGTTTGTAACATGTTTATGTTACGGGCAAGGTGGGTTATACGGTAATGGTTGAAATGGTTAAACTGCTAAAGTGGCATTTGTGAAAATGGAAAATGAAACTCGGTCCTAATATCAGTCCAAGTGATTGAAATGTGCCCAGTAATCCGCCCCACCCCCCGGATGCAACCTTATATGAGCTGCTGTGCTGTGACGTATATTCCGGTATTGAAGCTAAGCTTTTCTTTCGTAGTCACTACCAGAAACATGTCCAGTAGATCGTTTTATGCGACGTGAATCTCTAATGTGAGTAGTAAGCAAAATACCTAAATAATGCGGTCAAATGTGACCATGTCAACAGCTTGCGAAAGTGAGTTCACTTCTAGTGCACACAATCTTCCGTGTGCGCAACCTTCTGCGTCCGCATTCTTCTGTGTGTGTGTGTGTGTGTGTGTGTGTGTGTGTGTGTGTGCAATCTTTCGTGTCCGATTTTATGTCCGTGCGCTTTTTGCTGTCCGCAATTTTTGGGTGCGGTTCCTTCGTATGCGTTTTCTTCTGGCACAATCATTTCCCGGTAGCCAGTGAAATCCCAGACATATTCAAATTTAAATTATTACTTTTCAGCCCACCTTGGCACTCGATGCGTCATCTTGATTATAACTGGCCCCCGGGTTACCATATACTGGTTCGATCAATAACAAATTGGCTGGTTGGACACCCAAGATTTATTAATTACGTCTTCCTCCAAGACCTATCTTCAATGATACTTTGTGGCAGACCGTGCAAATAGTCACTCAGCATTCCGCCCTCCTCCGACGTCGAACGTCAGTACTATTAACTCGATGTTGCCAACAAACACCGAGCGATCCTCCTTAAGCAACCGTTATCGAAGGCAGAAAAACGACGCATGTCTTCCACGCGAATCGGCCAGGACTCGCCCCCATACAACAATACTGAGCGTACTGATGCGCTGTAAACGCGGCCCTTTAGTGAGAATGAGACGTCGCGACGACGCCACAAGTGCCTCAGCTTGACAAATGCTGATCGAGCTTTAGCGATACGAAGAGCAACTTCTTTGTTGATAGTGCCGTCAGCAGAAACACAGCTCCCGAGGTAGACGAAACTATCTACCTGTTCAAGTTGTGCACCTTCGAGAGTGAGCACGGGAGCAGGTGAAAGCCAATCCTTGGGCAGTACCTTACACTTCGATGGGGCGAAGCTCATGCCATACTTAGATGCTTCAACCGCCAAACGATCCAGAATGAGTTGCATACTCTCAGGATCGTCACCAAGTAAGGCGATATCATCAGCATAATCTAAGTCGGTCGCGCGCTCACCCGGTAGAAGCTCTAGGCCAAAATGTTGGAAACCTTCTAGAGCATTCGACAGAACGTCTTCGATTGCGAAGTTGAAGAGGAATGGGGACATAGGGCAGCCCTGTCGCACACCGCTATTGACAGCGAATTGCGAGGAAAGCTTGCCATAGACCCTCACTCTGCCGGATGTATGAAGGTAAAGTGCTCGTAAGATGGCGGTATATTTCTCTGGCACCCCGTTCTTTAGAAACAAACGCCATAAAGCAGGTCGATCAACGTAGTCAAAAGCGGCACGTACGTCTAGGAATGCAACGATAGTGGGCCTGTGATAAATGTGGAGATGTTCGAGGAGCTGGCGGAGCGTGAAGATTTGATCCATGCCTCCGCGGCTAGGACGGGAACCAGCTTGTTCTTCACGGTAGTATGATTCACGTACTGGGGATAGTTTGCGAAGCAGAATGGATGCCAATAGCTTAGAGGCAACCGAAATAAGACTAATGCCGCGATGATTTACACATGAAGTGCGAGCGCCTTTCTTGAAAATCGGGACAATAACTGATTCGCCCCAAGAGGAAGGCACTTTCTCTTCATGCCAAATTTTTGCGAACAGCGAGGTCAGCTGGTTAATGATCGCCACACCGCCGTACTTGAATAGTTCCGAAGGAAGTCCGTCTAAGCCGGCAACCTTGAAGCACTTCAAGCGTCGAATCTCAAGGCCGACTTCCGCTTCGCTGGGTGAATTTAGAGGGACGAGCCAGGGTGGACAACAACGTGTACTGCATGTATTGATGGATGGTGGAGGCCAGTTGAACTGCGAATGAAAGTGCTCGGCCCAGCGGTCCATACGCCTCTGTTGGTTGGTGATCAGAGACTCATCCACCTCACAAATGACCTCACTGACAACAGGTTTCCTGAGGCGAGTAGACCGAATGAGTTGGAAAAGCCTGTAAGTGTTGCCAGAGAGGGCAGCGGTCTCCATCTCTAAAGCACGCTCAGACCACCATGTCTCGCGATCTTTGCGTAGGCTTTGCTTGAGCAGCCGGTTGGCAGAACGTCGCCGCTCGTTGCAATCTGATTCCGCGGGGATATCTTTGCGGCGTTCGAACAGCTCCAGAGAACGAGCAGAGATCCAAGCCTTCAACGGGCGTCGAGTTAGGCCGCAGCATGACTGTCCGGAAATGGTCATCGCTTTTTGTATACAGGTCCAGTGTTGCTCCACTTCTTGCGGTGGATTGCAACTGGGTGCATATACCAGTGAAGTCTGATAGCTCTCTTGGACAGAGGAATCAGTTAATCTGTTTACATCAATCTTGCGGTGCTTCGTGTTTCGGGACCCTCCAAAACACATACAGATTTTCGCGCAAACCAGTGCATAATCTGTGTCAACGAAGGTGGACCAAAAGGACCTGCAGTCCAGTACGCTGCCGCGCCATCTGAAGCTAATTGCAATGTGACCAATTTGAGACCACGGTTATGTTGGCGAAGGAGGACATCACGTTGCGGAACGCTTCTTCGTACGCCTGAAGTTAGTGCTCGAGAGAAACAATGTGAGAAACCTCTCCCCGTTCTCAGAGCGGTTTTTATCGAGCGCGTGATGACCACCAAGATGGCGTTCGTATGGTGACAGGCGGCCAACTCGTGCATTAAACTCCTCAGCAAGGATAACGACATCCGACTTTTAGCATTAGTCAAGAGCTTATGTAAATCCCGGTAGAATTCGTCTTTGACTGAGTCGCCATGGCAGTCAGTTGGAGCGTACACTCAGATCACAAACAAGTTGCGTCTCTCTTCGCGGTGCTTGTCGATTCTACCTGAACCCCGAAGCCGAACTGCACGTAGTCGGCTGTTAATCGGGAACCAGTCCAGTAGTGCCGCCTCGGCCTTGCCACTTAGTGCTGTACCTACACCAGCCAAACCCGCTGAGATTGCTTCTGGATCTCCAGAAAGACGCAGGTGATATCTGGCTTCATGGTCAGTGGGAGATGTCAATGTAAGCACAGTGCTGGGATCTTGCAATCGGGTTTCTGAAAGGCAGCAGACATCAATGTCTAGGGTGCGCGCTAGACCGGCTTGCTGTCCAATCTGCGTGAGTGTCCGAACGTTGAAGCACGCCAGACGGAATGAGAATCGGGGACGAAGGAGAGTCATAGGTTGAACTCCTTGGTCTGCGGCGCAACGGGAATCGTAGCCAGATTGTTGAACACATGAATGGGGTAACGGAAAGTGAGGATTGTTAGAAAAAAAACAATTGGCGTGTGATGGAATCGCGCGAAAGTGGGAAGCAGAAACAGTAGCTGATGAACACGTTGTAATACAGTCTATGGTTTTATGAGAGGGCGTGATACTACCCGGTTGTCCAAGCCGAAGTAGGGAGTTGACTTAGGGGACTCCACCTCGAGCCTTTGGCTAAATAACCTACCTGCAAGGCAGATGGGCGAATTTAGGGAATCTCGCCCATTGGTAGGCGTTGACTGAATGTTCATTTCATGCGTCTTTGTTTGGTAGATTACCAAACAGGGACTCAATACTCCCCATCAACAGAATTGCTGCAATACAATGTCCCACCGAGGTAGAACATTGTCGCCGAACACTTTGCTGGAACGGGGTACACCCGAACTACCCAGCTGGCACCACGAGGAGGTAGTTCGGCAAGCCATCCAAAAACATCTTGTAATCTGACTGAAGAGCAGTCGTCGATTGATTGACACCCAGGATGTTGTCATCTGCCTATTTCAGTAGGATTACCTCTCCTAGGACTGGTATTGGAAAAGAGCAATGGTGACAGAGTAGCTTTGAAACGGTTAAAACTATCCGTAACTCTTGATGTGGATGTGGGTTTTGCACTGCTCTCCGAGCTGAATGATTATGTTGCAGACTTTTTCTGTCAGACAAGGCAACATCACCAGTACGGCTTTAAGGTCTTGTTTTGCAGAGCCTAGTAAGCGACTTCGAGATGTAAGTGATTATTGACCAAGTACTGTTTTGAATACCAGGCTTCACTAAACTCACGTACTTGCCGGCTCGTGGCTCTTCCGGGGATTTAGACGTGCTCCAGGTCGAACTGGTGGTCTTCGACGTCCATATGCACGGACATCAGTTCTTATAATGACGGCGGATGGCTAGGCTGTGTTAATGCAATCGTGTGCCAAGCTTTTTCCCTGTTTGTCCTACGGAGTATCCGGCAGTTTCGGCAGCAAATCTTGTAGATTACACCAGATGTCTCCCACTTGCCAAGTTTAACGTTCACTGAAGTGTTTAGTTCGAATTGTTTCTGTTGGCTGGTAGGCAATTCAGCTCGGACAGAATAGATCCGTGAAGAACTCAGGTGTTTGTGATTAGGGACGAGGAGTTTCTGCCCCACAAACGGATAATCTGAGTACGACCGGTAAAATAATCCCGCAAAATGTGGAAAAAAAAAGCTGCGTAAAATTCTATCATCCGAAATACTTATAACGGTGATAGGCACCAGGCCAAAAACAATGTAACACTGAGAAAGCAACTTACCAATACAATTCTGTCACCGTGTAGCTCAGAACGGAGACAATGCCGAAACACACCGACAGTTGAAGGAGGACAGTATGGTCACCCTTTGGTTGGCGCTGAGAGTTCTATACAACAATCATCGGTCCTACAAAAAAAACGACTGGCAGCCGACCCCGCAAGGATCGGCATAGACTTTCACTGGAAATCAACTTTCACAAACACGCTACTGACCACCGATGCCCTCACCTGTCTGTATACCAATGAACAAGGTCTTCTCAACAAGCTAACGGAACTTCGTACTCGTCAGGCCTCCACGCCTTGGGACTTAGTTACGGCCACCGAAATATGGCTGAACACGGAGATCACGGATGCTGAGATTGCACTACCCGGCATGACTTCCATACGAAACGATCGATCTAGCAGAGGATGGGGAGTGCTCCTGTATTATCTATGCGACCTGCATGTTGATATCATCCAAGATTCAGAAACGAAGGTCGTCGATTCTCTTTGGTATCGTATGCACCTAAGACGTGGTGATGTGTGTTTACTAGCAATAGTTTACCGCCCTCCAATATCCACCGTAAAATGGTTAAATGCCTAGCTTCTGCGATGAAACGAGTCCTGGCACGACCATACAGCTACGTCCTTCTGGTGGGAGACTTCAATATGTACACAATCGAAGTTCCAGCATCGCACAACGAACAATTCAATGCGGATTTGCAAGAGGTGATCGCCGATGTACCTGTGTACAACCATGTCACCTCTCCCACGCGATTCCGAAAGGGTGACACACCAACTGTTTCTGACCTTGTGCTCTCCAACGAGGAACTAATGGTCGACACCGTGACAGTAGATGCAACACTTGGCCGTAGCGATCACGCGATATTGCTCTTCGTTACATCTTCCTCAGAGTACATCAGTAAGAACAACGTGGAAACCTATGTCGTTACACATTACGCTCAAGAAACCGACTGGTCCTTCCTGGTCAAGAAGCCACCCAATGTCGCCTAGATGTTGTTCATCATGCAATTCACTGAGCTAGTGGTAAATGCGTGAGAAAGCAAAGTCCTTCGCCCGAAACAAGTGAATTCGTTTCTGAGGAATCATACTAGAAAAGGCGTAACAAGAGATTCAGCCTGGCGCGCTTACAAAGTCTGTCTAAGTAACCTGACCTGAGGTGCTTACACAACTCAACGAAACCACTACGTCAAGTTGATCTACAAACTCCAGCACTAACAGAACTTAGCGGCGCGATTCAGTACAAATCCCAAGTTGCTGTATAAACACGTCAACAGGCTCCGTAGAGTGCAGCGCAGGATCCCGGTTTTATATGCAACAGACGGTCTTGAGCAAACCACACAAGATGCAACCAACGTGTTTACCCAACACTTCATCCATACTTTCTGAAGTGAATCCTCATTTCGCCGGCTGTTGACACAGCTTCCATCGCCACCAGGTTTAAACCATCTTTTGTTTACGGCAGCCAATGCGATAAAAATGCTAGTGTCATTGCGCGTGCACAGCTCACCTGGCGTGGACGACAACAAACCGAAGGCATTGTGTAGCGAGAACGACAAGACAGGGGGTAGACGTTTATTGCACACCGAAAATGGGCACATGAGGGTCTCACGCGCGCCATCGAATATCGACTAGATTTCCGTCCCACCACGCAACACAGGTACGGATGTTGGAGACGAGCCAGTCCTTTCGCCTCGGGAGCTCTGACTTGGAAGATCCGCCTTCCTGTTTTCGCCTCGATCTCCGCTTCTCTGCACCCGATTTGGATCGGCCAGGAGTCGTTCGAGAGCTCTCGACTTGCTTGTTCTGGGCTGTGTCAATCGGCTCGGCCTCGGTCCTGTGGGCTGTGCTAGCGGCGTATTTGTCTGATTTATTGCGCTGTCTACATATTCCCGCTCCGTAGTTCCGGGCCCAGGCTCGTCGCTAGCCGTCTTTCGCGATCCGCTCTCAGCTAGCTCCGAAGAGCTCCCCAGAGCCATTCTTGGAAGCGGCCCCTCTACACCCGCCCCTCCTCCAGGACCTTTCTTCCTCTCGTACCATGGTCGCAGGAGAGCAGCATTCACCCAACGTTTCATTCCTCCGCAGTCGATTAAGACGTTGCCCGCTTTCTGGTCGATAATGGTGTAGGGGCCTTTCCAGCGTTCTCTGAACTTGCTTGCGCCCGGCCCGTCATGATCCGGCCGATCGTTGTTCAGTAACTTGACCCGTTCTCCAATCCTGAATGGCCTCCACTTGTGAGCCTCATGCCTGGCGTCGTAATTTCGCTTATTCCGCGCTTGTCGAGCTTTGGTTTCGCTTCTAGCTTTCCCTCGCAGTCGCTCTTGATGCCCAGCTGGATGTTTCCGCTCACCCGGGTTCGGTAGGCAAGTATCGAGTGCAATCCGTGGTTCCCTTCCGTACTGTAATTCGAATGGCGAGACCTTGGTGGTTGATTGCATGCTGGTCCGATACGCGATCAGAACCTGAGGCAAAGCATCTTCCCATGCCAACTTCGTGCAGTTTATCCACGTCTTCAATGTCCGGTTGAACCACTCGGTCATCCCGTTGGTTTGTGGGTGGTACGGTGAAGTTCGCCGTCTCTGGATGCCCCACTTGTCCAACACTGCCTTAAACGCTTTTGACTCGAAGCAGGGCCCTTGGTCCGTGATGATTCACTGTGGGATCCCATATCTTGCAGGCACATTG